TTCCTATTTAAAAAAAAAAAAAAGAAAAAAAACTCCCAAATTTTGTATCAATTGACCTCTTTGTTTGAGAGAATGGTTTAGATTTGTTCTAACAAAACCAACAATTAGAAGAAAAGATGATGTCCTGCTGTAGCTGCTGGCAACAGTGGACAGAAAAGGAAGAGAAAATTGATCTCCACTTTCCTTAAATGGTAATATGAAATTTAATTATGCATCCTATATTTAATCTTTATATACAATCTTAAAGCAACACCACACAATGCAAAAATCAAGCTACTAATTATTACTCTTTTTAGTTTTTTTTCTTGAACTTTAAAAACATGACTAAGAGGCTCGTGCGCACAGTATATCACATGCATTTTTACAGTGATCAGATAAATGACACATCCTTTTTAGAGATGAATATAAGCAATGAGGAAAAAATGATTTTAATGGATTGTCAGGAAGTCATAGGCTGAAATAAGCTTTTCATTTTGATGTTACCTTTATGTTAAAGACTAGCTAGCCATGAAAGATTGGCTTTAAAATGCTAAGTATAGTACTTATTGTAAATTTCTTCTAGAACTTCACGGATGATCTTCACGCACAGTTTAAATGCATGCATTCACAAAAATGAGTATGTGCAAATATTCTCCTAAAAAAGAAAACATCCTCCTAAAACAGAGTAGAGAATTACCCTTCTATGACATCGCTCTAACTTTGACAATAGATTTGAAACATTCTGGAAAGGAGGAAAGAGGGCAAAAATTTGTTTCCAAGGGAATAACAAAGAAATCGATGCTTTGTCAGAGTCACAGCTGGAGTGAATTTAAGTCACCTTGTCCTCTTGCTCTCTCTAGTCAAATGATAAATGCTTAGACTTAGACTATCAGTAAAACATTTCTCTTGCTCTTTACGAGTAACCTTCCACTGGTGCCGATGATCAATTCTCTGTCGATATTGATGTAGACTATTTCAACATAGTTTTTAATTTGTAACTATAAAATGATATGCTTTTGTCGTGACACCCAAAGAGGGTTAACTTCTTAGCAAAGGAAAGTTAGGCTAAGGTTAAAGAGATCATGGATAATTTCAGAAAGTGAAATTCGCACCTGTAAAAAATGAAGTTTATTTTAGTGAGTACTTCCATAAATGTTCAGAAATGCAAGCAGATATGGCATTTTTATTTAAAAAATGCAATCTACCAATATTAATGTTCTTTAATCAAATTCCTCAAGTTGTTTCAGTGACCTTCAGGAATTATTTACTCACAACAGACTTTCACCTAAGCAACTGTCTTCAAGTGCTCAAGATATAATAGAAAATCAGAGAATCTGAAGTTATATTAAACTTTTGGAACTTCTTTTTACAGACCCATCCAATAACTAAAAAGCTATAGTTAGCATTTTAAAGCTTATCTACATCTTAAATATGATTATTTATCCCCGTTCCACCTATCACTTTTAGGAGAATTTGAAAACACTACAGTGTTACATTCAAGTCAAATGACACGGGAAGACCAAAGGAGACTGGAAAAGAAGCTCGCAGAAACACAAACCTTGAAGATTATTTTATTAACACCTGAGAAACTGTGAACTGTAAAAGCAAAAATTGTTTAATTACTTTGGTGTATTTTTAAATTTTTTGACAGTGAACCATAAAAATTGATACAGCAAATTCCAGAGATTATGTCAAACAACAGCATCAAAATATATTATCCACATGCTTTTGAGAGCATGCTTAAAATTACTTAAATTTCATATATATACATATATATATGCATATATATTTCAGTTCCTACACAATCCGGGAATGTAATCTATCCTGTATGCATAAAAAACATGCGTTGTTTTTAAAACCCATTAGCCCAGCTACAAATAAAAATCAAACTAAAAATTTAAATAACTCTTAAAATATTTTTTTCTAATTAATTCTGCACCAAGCACCCATATACTATTAATTTTCTATGTCAGTTTCCACCAAAAGCCACAACAGTGATCTTGAACAGTCTTATGAATGAGAATTAGAACACTTCCAGACAACAACGTGCTTTCTCTCTGCACTTTTTCTTTTATAATAATTACTAAAAATGCACCTTTCCTATAGAACACGAAAAATCTTTATAAATTAAGAATGCTTCTCTTCATATGAAATCAGATTTCAGAGAATCAAGAAAACTTTGAAGTGTGTTTAGTCTAATTTTCACATTTGTAGATTAGTGAATTATTAAATTTCTTCTACAGCGGTAGAAGATTTTTATTTTAGTTCTCTATCCTGAAAAAATTAAAATTGACAATTGTTACATTCCTGTTTAGTAAAAGGTCAAACCTAAATTTCTAATCTCATTCCGTAAAGTTGTATCCTTGATATTTTTATTCCTGTACCTTTGAAAGCATACATTTCAATGTCATCAATCACAACTAAAGGAGGGGAAAGAAGTGACACTTAGTAGGCCTCAGGATGGCACTATGTAACAGCTACTTTGATCATTTGACACTGTTTCCAATTTTATCAACTGAAGTTTGCTATCATGATGGGTGAAAGTTCAGTGTGACCATACTGCTATTTTCTAGAAATTTCTCTATGAAAGGAAGTGGTATCTTTTCTCTTAAGCTGACTCTCTAATTGCCACCTTATTTTTGAAATTAAAAATACTTGCTGGGTGTGGTGGCGCACACTTTTAATCCCAGCACTCAGGAGGCAGAGGCAGGCGAATCTTATTTTGATATATCACAGTGAAAGATTTATCGTCCTCTTTTTTTTTTTTTTTTTTTTTTTTTTTAAAAAAAAAAAAAAAAAAAAAAAAAAAGGAAATTTCAGAATACTAAAAATTTTATTGGCCAGGATCCAGTGGAATAAAGAAGATAGATTACTAAATGTTTAAAGAATTCATTTTTCCTCTTCAATGAAAGAATTCCTTTTCTAAGGGAGAAAGAATTCAAAAAATAATTTGCCACCAGCAACCTGTTATCCTGTCATTCAGCTAACATATTTTTAAACTGTTTATTCCAATATGTTAAACTTTCTCATGAACCTGATGTCAAGTTTTAACACTCTTTCAATTATACTTAAGTACCTCTAATGTAATATACTTCATAGAACTGCTAGGTTATGGAAGACATAACAGAAATTCAACTCGTAAAATAGATATTCAATTTGAGAAGATAAAGTCACAAACTCTTTAAAAAGCATAATTCAGGAATGTTTGGAGAATAACATACTAAGCATACTTAATCCATAACTATGTATGTATAAGCATATTACCAAATCATAGGATAAGCTAGACACAGAGATGTGTCGCTCAGGTCACTCTATAAGGCCATCAGGGCTGGTGACAGAGGAACCTTGGGCATGGGGGCCCAATGTATTTCAGAAACAAAAAGGGCTTTACAGATACTCCCAGGATATGTATGGACAGAACAGAAAGTACCTTCAGAATATGTCCAGTTTGTGTTCTAGGGGAACTACTATTGAGACTTGTCACACTAATAAGACACAGCGAGAAGAGAGTCCTCTGCTGTAGATAACTGTAAACATTCAACTCAAGATGGGTTCAAGAGACTGTTAGGTTCATTGCTGTTGAAAATGTTGCTGTGTCAATCAGGGAAAGAGAAAGAGAGGTGGCTTTGTTGAGGTGGAGGAGTGTGAGAGAGAAGCAGATGCAAAGGTTATGCGTGTTCATTTGTACGTACATGTACAGTTAATTTCCTTCAGACTTTTTAAAAATCCTGTGATAGCAGATTTTGAAGTCCTTTGAAAGGATAGCCGAAACGTTTGACAGTTCAAAACCCTGGGAAGCATTCTTAAGTTGCAAAATCAGCAACAAAAAGAAAAATAAGAAAAAAAGAAATAAAGTAAAAGAGGAAAGAAAGAAAGACGGACTGAAGGAAGGAAGGGAGAAAATAAAAGAAAAAGGAAACCGTGAGAGGGCAGTAGGCAGCCAGGCTCAGGCCTTTTCCCTCCCTGTCCAGCCTTCTCTGCTAGCCTTCCTTCTTTCTGCCGCCCTGGCAGTGGGCAGCAGCGGCGGATGACAGCGCGCACAGACAGAAGACAGCCGGAAACACTGCGGCACAGTGATGCTGTGCGAGGTGCTTGTGCTGTTTGGCAAACTGGCTTTCTGTTTGGGCTTCCTACAAAAGGAGCAGAAGGTGGAGTCCTGGTAGCTCCCAGTGCCCGCACAGCCCCCTCTCCTGGCAGCTGCGCGCGCCGACCACACTTGGTGCCCAGGGCGCGCACTCTCCTGTCGCTGAGTGTGTCTGCGCAAAGGTCTGCAAGTGGCTGTCAATCTATCTGCCTGTGTGACACACACTAAGACGCCCGCCCGCGAAAAGCTCCCTTTCTCACAATCCTGCGCTGGCATCTTTGCTGTTTTGCAGATTCCTAAGACTCCGTCACTGTCACCTCGTCATTTTCTTCCTCACGGATAATTTTTCACAGTTTTGCGTGAGAAACGGGAGTCTACTGGAGTTGCTTCCTGCCTGTACAAAGAGGCTGGAAAGGTAAGAGAATCCGAAAGGAGGCAAATTCCCCTGCATCGGGTTCTAAAAGGTGCTGAATGCCCAGGATGGCCTCTGGCTGCACTATAAACCCCGCGCTGGCACCTACACCAGTTGTGCGCTTTGGGCACACACAAATACAGCCCCTATCTTCCAAAGTTGTGAGTATGAAACAAGTGAGCACCTAAAGCGCCTAGAGTCGTGCCTAGCACGCACTAACGGTATGTGTCAGCTGCTGCTAACATCTTCATCGGTCCTATCCGCATGTTAAAAGCAATGACCATTCTGGCTACTTTCTCCAAGGGAACGCACTAGTTCTTAAAAAGAATCCATGTCGCAAAGCAAAGGTGAGACAGACCCTAATCCACTCCATGCAGCCCAGCGATCCGCAAACCACCCAGATCCCCGTCCAGATCCCCTGGCCCACGCAGATCTGTCTTCAGAAACCCCTCCCAAGTGGCCAGACGCGCCACACCTGGTCAAGGCGCAAAGGCAAACCGCACCAGCAAAAGTTCTGACCCCTACCTCTCCTGGTTGAAGTGTGTGTTTGGGGGGTTTTCCTACCTGCCCCAGGCTTTTGCCTTTCTTACTGCCTCCGAAAGCCAGTCCTTGGAATACGCCCGCAGATCGATTGGCGGCCTGGGCAGGCGTCTCCTCGCCCAGAGAGGACTTGATGGAGTTGAGTTTGGCCCGCGAGTTTCCGAGCTGAGAGCTCTCCACCATCAGCACCGCGGCCAGTAGGAGTAGGCAGCCGGATGAATCCTTGCGCCTCATCAGCACCGCCATCTCCTGATGAGGGGTTCCGGGAGAGGGGAAAAGTCCCGGGGGTGTGAATGCAGGAGAGGGAGGACGCCAACACTGAACCCCTCACGTGGGGCGCGTGGGCTCCTCAAAGACACAGTTCCCCAACCCTCCTTGGAACAGGCACCCAAGACTGTGCGCACTCAGTCTCAAGCCTCAAGCCAGACGCGAGGGCGACCCCAGCGAGACCCGCTTCTCCACCAGGGCAGGAAGTTCTGCAATAACTGGAAGCAATCAAAGGCGAGGTGCCTTCTTGCCAAGGAGGCGTGACCCAAGGTGCTAGAAGACCCAGCCCGACGATCCACCGCTTGCTGGCCGAGTGCTGGGCACCTAGCTGCCCCCGCAAGAATCTCCGCGCTTGAAGGCTCCTCTTAACTCAACAGGAGCTTTCGCACCAGCTTCTCCTTCGGCCTCAGTTGCTCTTGTCTCCAGCTGTTCTGTCTTTTCCTAACCCCTTAGCTCTGAACTTTGCGAGACACAAGTCCCTCTTTTCAAGGTTAGCAGGCACTATCACTGGGGATCTAGAGTCGCCCCCTGCCCCGACTCTAGAGATCTTTAAAGAGCTGCGGCCCACGCGCGCACACCCAGCCTTCTGGGTCCCACAGGGCAGCCAACCACTGCAGCACCGCGGTGATGCCCTGGGAGCGGACTGGCGCTCCGCAAGGCCAGCGCTCGCTCTCTGCGCTCCCCCGCCCTCTTTGCTTTTTATAGCTTTCCACAGTGGGTTTTTCCTCCGCCCCCAATTCAAGAGTGACAAAGAGTGAAAACCTTTCTCTCAGCCCCCACACTCCAGCCTCCCCCCCCCCACCGCTGCAGCTCCTTCTGCGGCTCGCCCTCCTGCTTCTCACCCTCCTTACCCTCCCACTCTTCCGTCACCCCACAATTTAAAAAGTAGGATTCACCCCCACCCCGAGGAACGTGGGGGCTCCGCACGGCTGACCACAGCCCCGGGACTGTTTGGAAGTTTGGGAACAGGCCGAGGACAGATGCGGATATGGAGAAGAAAAGTCCCCATTCATGGAGACACCCTTAAGTTCTCCCACCCATCTCCACCCTCCCGCTCTGCGAAGAGCCCTGGGCGAGCCCTGGGAGAGACGAACTTGTAAACTGTGGACTGAGTGCAGTCTACTTTGCCTTTAAGCGGTGCCTCTCCCTGCGTGTGCGAGGTCGACTCGCTGTAGGTGTGTCAGCGGGTCCCCATCGGATACTGGGGGCTTTGGAAGGGAGGCGGAGAGCACCAAAGAAGCGGGAAGATGACGAAACCTCTCGCCTTTGAAGTGTTTGGATCTTTTTTAGTTTCCCGATCTCCCATTCCCCGCCACACACATAGAACACATTTATCTATGGCAGGGAGAGGAAGGAAAGGGATATCCCTGGCTATGCGACCTCACTACTTGACTGGACACCTTTACGGTGCCTAAGTGCTCTCTTTGCAAAGAGGAAATCCCAGACAGGAATAATCACCCTGCGGGGGAGCAGGGTGAGGGGCAAAGTGGGCAGGAAGCTTTTGAGGTCCTGCCTCCTCCGTGGCTTCCTCCCTGCTTGCACCTGGAGGGTCCCAGGTCCGGTTCTCTGGTCTGAAGGCGGAGGGCGACTGCGGGAGCGATTGCGGAGCCCGGCCCGGCGTGCGGCGCTTGGGGGCGCCAGTGGCAGAAACACTGCGGGAGACCAGCTGTCCCAGCAGGCTCGGTGTTTGGTGAGATTTGGTCTCCCTGAGACCAGAAAGCTTCCAATGGGATGCAGGGGTTGCTGCCTTTTTTTTTTTCCCCTACAAGAATCTAGCAGTTACTAGTAGTGTCACTGAGCCACACTCGCGGAGCGAGACAGTGATGGCCAGCCGCGGACAGCGGACTTTGGCAGCACACCCTAGAACTCTGGAATTCTTTCACACCTGATTTTGGCATATGCAAGCCTGTCTAGGAGCTGAATTTAAGTGAGATCCTTAGTGACGCCTTTATTTTCCAACCAAACACGCGGAGCTCTAAAGTGTTCAGAACTGGGATCTCCCAGGCAGAGACAATTATCACTATTTCTCTTTCCTAACCTGTGAGTTAGTCTACCCTGGAATTTTTCATTTACACAAGGTCGTGGGTTTCCGTTTGTTTGTTTGCTTGCTTGCTTGCTTGCTTGTTTTTAATATATAACCAAACAGGGATTAAAACATGTTTTCTTATCTTTGAATTGCTTTGTCTTAAAATAAAATGAATATCTAGGCTGATTAGACTCCAGTGGATGAACTTGCAGGAGGGACATCTGGGTACAAATGTTCGACCCCAATAGGACTTAACATATATGACAGAATGCATGAAATCCAGTGGTGGGGAGGTGTGGGGGAGTGTGGATGGGGTCTAAATTTGATTAAGATTTATTATGTGAAATGCACAAAAAATAAATAGTTTAAAATATATAAATATATTTATGAATTGAGAGAGAGAGAGAGAGAGAGAGAGAGAGAGAGAGAGAGAGAGAGAGAGATCTAAATCTCTCTCTATATTGAGAGAGAGAGAGAGAGAGAGAGAGAGAGAGAGAGAGAGAGAGATCTAAAGTTCTGGCTACATAGCCCAAGTAATCCTCCTGCCTCAGCTTCCAAAGTCCCGAGATTGCATCACTCCTGTCAGGTTTCACAGCTAATGCTTGTTTTCACTTTAAAAAATAAACAGGAGTAACATGGGTAATCCTTGAAGGCTTGACGTCAATGAAAAAGGCCAGCCACAGATATCTAAGTGGAGTGGTGGTTACCAAGGACTAGGAGGAAGGAAGGAAGGAGAGTCAACAGGTATACAATTTCACTTCAACAAGATGAACAAGCTCTAGCTAGCTGCTAAAACACAAGGCACTTATACAATAACAGACATTTAAAAGTTTGTCTAGAGGGAAGATCTCATGGTCAATGCTCTCACAACAGTTACACATACAGATCTATAATTCTATGCAGTAGCAGGTGTGTGTGGGGGGGTCATGTGTGATCTCAGGAATGAGTTTGTAAATTTGCAAGGATAAGTAAAGTTATAACAGAAGGCAAAGAAACATCTATATGCTGTAAACAACTACTCAGGATTCAGCACTTTGACTTTACTAATGGATAGTATAATTTGCTTTCATTTTAATTTGCCAATCAGGAATTGTTACAGAAATGGGGAGAAATAAGTTAGAAGTTTACTGATTTGGTTATTTTTGTTTCTTTTATTTATTATTTTTATTATTTATGTGTATGAGTGTATTGCCTGCATGTATGTAAGTGCACTTGTGTCATGCAATGCCTGCGAAGGTCAGAAGAAGGTGTTAGATTCCCCAGAACTGAGTTACAGACTGTTATCAGCTGTCATGTGAGTGCTGGGAATAGAACTGATTCAGTGCTGGGAATAGCCCCTGGTTCAGTTGTTTTAAAGAATATTTAATTACTTTTCTGGGACTGGAGAGATGGCTCAGTGGTTAAGACCCTGGCTGTTCTTACCAAGGTCCTGGGTTTGAATACCAGCACCCACATGGCAGCTAACAACCATCTGTAACTCCAGTTCCAGGGGATTCAACACCCTCTTCTGTCCTCCACAGGCATTGCATGTCACAGATGCACTTGCACACACTCATACCATACACATAAACAAAGTTCTAAAAAAAGAATATTTTATTTTCCTTAATTTTTATTTATTAGTATGTGTAATGTGGAGGAAGGCATACATGTACCATGACGCATGTCTGGTGGTCAGAGGACAACCGTGGAGTTGGTTCACTCCTTCTACCTTTGCATGGGTTCTGGGGGATTGAACTCAGGTTGTCAGGCTTGTGTAACAAGTACTTTTACCCACTGAACCATCTCTCCAATCCTGACAGATATTTTAGAGCAATACAAAAGGCAAAATAGATGGGCAACAAATCATCATATATTCATTTGAAAGGACACAGATTTGACCTTGTACTGAAGAAAAATCTCAAGTGAATGAGGAAAACATGAAGATTTTTTGCCTGTTTCTGTGACTTTCTCCCCTTTCTTTACATTCAACCAGAATTACATCCCACAAGTACACAGCTAACTCCCCACACATGTACTCTAATCAGAAAATTAATGCCAGTCACACTGTACTTACTGAAGAAATCACTCTTCTCTGAGAATCGTGATAAAGTTTGTTTCAGAGGCCAACACAATACCCTATAAACTCTAAGAGAAAACATAAATACAGTTAAAATCAAAGTTCATACGAAATTTACTTGTACAAATACTCTCCAATATTAAACAAAATCAAATTGTATGGAATCAAGTGCTAAGATATATGCAGCTATACCTTAGACTAAAAGGAAGCAAAAGCTGATTTCATCCAGGACCCGATGCTGTCTTGTAGTTATTTGACAGACACAAGCGTAACTCATACATACAATGAGATATATATGCACAAAATTGACTAACGGCAAGTAAACACAACCCTCAGACTACTACCATAAACCCACATATGCTTTCTCCTGGTGTGCTTCCCTAAGTAAGAAAAAACAAGCTTCAGATTTTACTTAGAATAGATTTTTATGCCATTTACAATAACATAATTAAAGAGTAAATATATAAAAACAAGACTGTACATCAGTAAGATCAAACCCTCTTGTCAGAAGAAAGTGTGACTGTAGACACTGCCTTTTGACTATACAATCCCTCTTCTCTCTGCTTCTCTAACTCTGGGGTCAGTTTGGCTCCAGTGAAAAGAAATAAGTTGCTCAGTTGTTACTTCAGAAACCAGATTTCCTTCTGAACATTAACCCCCAAAGGTATGCCAAGTGTAGGCTTTCTCATTTTATCCCACAGGGTCTATAGTAGTAGTTTCTATACTAGTTTAACTAGCAGTTGCTTTGGAAATCACCACACATTTAGCAAGTGTGGGACACTGCAAACTCAGGGTGAGTTGATGGAGCCCATGGCCTTGGTGAAGCTTGCAACCCATTGCCAGGCCCTTGACTCATGGACCTCCGCCTCTGGCCTCTGGCCTCTTCCAGGAGTAGCAGCTCTCTGCTCTCAGCCCTCCCGTTTTCACCCACTGCCGAACGTTCCCACTCTCAGAGTTCCATCTCTCTTGGGTTATCTACAGCTTCCCAACTGATGAATTCATGTGATTGTGGAAAAAAAAAAAAAAAAGACACTCTCCCAGAGACTTACCTTTCCTCAAAACTTGAATACACATCTTACTAGAGTAAGTACAGACACTACTCCCATGTTTGAGTTTGAATTCAGTTAAATGACCATAGCAATGGTCAGTAAGAAGAGAAATATTGTACCACGGCAAACAGGAGCAGAGAGGCGACAGCTCAGGAGGCCCACCAGGATCCACAGTCATCTTGCAGCTTCAGAATGGACATGAAAAACCTGCATGATATAGATGAATCTTGATAACTGTTAAGGCTTTAGAAAACATGGTATACTAGTTTCCTCTCTCCATAGTAAACCAAACTGCTAGCTCCTGTAGTCCAGCAATCCTCACTCTCTGGTTCCTATTAGATAGGAGTTCTTTTGTTGTTGTTCTTTCTTGGTTTTTTTTGTTGTTGTTGTTGTTTGTTTGTCTGTTTGAGACAGGCTCTCCCTGTAGCCCTAGATGGCCTGGAACATGCTATGTAGACTAGGATGGTCTTGATCTCACAGAGCTCTGCTTGCCTGTCTCCCAAGTGCTGGCACGTAGGAGTTTTAA